GCAGGACGCTTCACTCAACAAGCACGGTGGGGACTACACCTCGGCATCGCAAAACATTTCCAAGCATGGAAACTCCTCGACATACAAGACAAAAATACCGTGGCATCACGTGATGTGATTTTCTACGAGCGATTGACGCTGTAGCATTACCTGGACAACGTCGCCAACACAGACGACCCCACCGACAGCTTCGCGGGCCTTCGCTCCTTCGCCGATCGTGCTGCCGAAGCTGACGCAGCAGAAGAAGACGTACCTGAAGCCTCGGAAGCTGCCGGACCACTCCCTTACTGCTCCGTACCTGTTCCCCTCAACGACGACAACCCTCTTGACAGTAACAACCTCGATACCTACTACCACTTCACTGACCAAGGTTACACTACACCTCAACCAGCCGACACGAATGTCTCCGAACGCATCGGACCAAATTTCTTACCTGGTCGAGAAGATGGCGACGAAGCAGCTTATCCCAGGAATGAAAATTCCCCTCGACACTCACCCATGGGCTGCAGATACTTGGATTATGGGTCTCCGTCCAGCACCCGCCGCCGCCGTCTCCACGCGAGCCAACGACTCTGTCACAGGCTCTTGGGGGGGGACATAAGGCGAAATGGAAGGAGGCAATGGAAAAAGAACTGAAAGCTCTGCAAGACCGAAACACGTGGAAGCTGGTACCTGCAACAAACATCAACGGAAAGAACGTACTCTCTGGGAAATGGGTGTACCACATCAAGACCAATGCGGATGGCTCCATCGACCGCTTCAAAGCTCGCTGGGTCGTACGAGGATTCGACCAGCGATATGGAACCGACTACACGGAGACATTCGCCCCAGTCTCCCGACACACCTCCCTACGCATCTTGCTCGCCGTCGCGGCCATCAAGAAGTTACCACTACGCCAGATCGATGTCGTCAACGCCTTCCTGTACGCACTTGTGGGCGCCGAAATCTTCGTCGAGCAGCCCCATGGATTCATCGACGATCCCACAAAAATATGTCAGCTGGCAAAATCCCTCTACGGAATCAAACAAGCCCCACGGCTCTGGCAGCAGCACCTTCACGGCCACTTCGTCAGAATCGGCTTCCTGCAGCCGCCGCACGACCAAAGAATGTACTGACTACAAAAGGGGGGGGATTTCGTCCTACTCATCGTCTACGTCGATAATCTACTCTACGTTGGCTCCACTACCGACGTTGTCACCTGGTTCGAAGGGGAGCCGAAGAGCGACTTAACGCTTACGGTGCCAGACACCGTGAGTCAGTATCTAGGTCTGAACGTCGTCGAAGACGACTCGGCATTCTACCTAAACGCTGGAAAATACGCAGGCGTTGTTGCAAAGAAATTCTGACTAACGCCGACTACAGTCGCGACTCCCTACTGCTATGGGAACAACAACGACACCTCCGCAAAATTCCCCGCGAAGCAAATCCAGGAGTATCAGCAGAAGCTCGGCTGCCTACTATTCGCAACAGTAACCTGCCGACCGGATCTATCTTACAGCGCCAGCCAACTAGCGACACGTCTGAAGCAGCCGGAACAAGAGGATCTCGAGGAGTTAAATCGGGCATTGATCTACTTCGTCTCCACGCCGACGACTGGACTTACCTACAGTAAAACAACGACATCGTCCGTACAACTACTCGGATACGTCGACGCCGACCACGCAGGAGACAAGGAAAATCGACGCTCAAGGACGGGCTACATCTACCGACTAGAGCCTATCGGGACTATCTCCTGGCAGTCGAGAAAACAAGAACTAATCGTGCTATCTTCAGCTGAACCAGAATACATCACTCTCTGCACTGCGACCAAAGAAGGACTTTACCTGCGAGAGTTGCTCGAGGAAGCGAAAATCGCAAAACAGCCTATCTTCTCGATATTCTGCGACAACCAATCCGCGATTAAAATCGCAAACAAGGACGGGTTTGCTAATCGAACCAAGCATATCGCCCTGCGGTACTTCTTCGTCAAGGATGAAATCGCGAAAGGGAGACTTCAACTCAGTTACTGCCCTACGACAGAAATGGCCGCAGAGTATCTGACGAAGAAACTAGCGAAGGCAAAGTTCGATTACTGCATGCTGCTGACTGGGCAGATAAACGTCACCGAATCTGGACACGTCGGCACTCCAGAAACGAAGGGGAGTGTTACAAATACCTCAAGGACTTAAGCGTTTCTGAAGTGTAACACCACACTCGAGTGAAGCTGTATCGAGTATGCGAGTCAACGGAGGTTACACGAGGAGGTTGGACGAAAGAACACGAAAGGACGAAAGACTCGAAGGGTCGCAACCGGAGGTTGCGATTGACCGTTACAACTGCAATGGTGGTAACCGAATCGACCATCGAGTCGCTGTGCGACTCGATAACCGTTCCTTCAACTGTATTCTACAACTGCTTTACTTTCCTATTTTCTATATATTGCTGTATGCTTGTTCCCTTTAATCAATCACTTGCTCTCACATACTAGTGCAAGGGTTCAGCTACTCAAATTCCGCTGCACTACTCAAGCATCCTTATACAACTGGGACTTAGTCTCTGAAAGATCCTAAGGCCTTTTTTCAGCCCAACAAACTGCAAGGTGTCAACTTATACATATTAGCTATGTAGAAGTTAAAGGCTAGATTGGGGTATGCTTCTAGTGAGTACAACCAACTAGTATTTGTTCTAGGTTTCTTCTTCTAGTTCATTATTCAGCTCTGCCCCGGTCCTGTACGCTGACAACAGGGCCATGATACTCCTCGGCTTGAGGGCAGAGCGAAGCATATCCAGCTGCGGTGCTTCCTTCTGCGCGAGTTACAGCAGCGCCGCCAGGCCCGCGTAGTTCACTTGGCCTCAGGTGCCAACACAGCTGATATCTTTACTAAAGCGCTTGCGCCTAAAGATCATCAGCGGCACTGTGTACAGCTTGGTCTTGTTCCTGTAGCTACTCACCTGTTAGGATCCTGATTGTGTACTCTCTATTATATATACCTGTCAGACTGGCCTTGTGGCCTTACCTCAAGTGGCTGGACTAGTAGTGCCGCCCTGGCTTGCTTTAGTCTTGTTTGTACTCTTGCTGACTGGTCTCCAGACCCCTGCCTCAGTGGTTGGACTAGTAGTGCCACCCTGAGCTGTTTGCTTCTTGCTTGGCCTCACCCCTTGTCTAGCCTAGGGGGTGTGTCAACTTATACATATTAGCTATGTAGAAGTTATAGGCTAGACAAGGGTATGCTACTAGTGAGTACAGCCAACTAGTATTTGTTCTAGGTTTCTCCTTCTAGTTGATTATTCAGTTCTTACTTTAACATCCAGACCCCTGCCTCAGTGGTTGGACTAATAGTGCCACCCTGAGCTGTTTGCTTAGCTTCACCCCTTGTCTAGCCTAGGGGGTGTGTCAACTTATACATATTAGCTATGTAGAAGTTATAGGCTAGACTGGGGTATGCTTCTAGTGAGTACAACCAACTAGTATTTGTTCTAGGTTTCTCCTTCTACTTCTATTATTCAGTTCTTACTATAACACTTTTCTCAGCCCAACACAATATATAGAAAATAAGAAATGAAGCAGTTGTAGAATACAGTAGAAGAAACAGTTATCGAGTCGCACAGCGACTGGATTGTCTGTTCGGTTACCATCCTTGCTGTCGCAACGGTCAATCACAACCTCCGGTTGTGACCCTTTTGTTAAAATTATAAAAGTTATAATTTAATATAGGCTTGGTAGGTTGTTACTGAACCTTTTTGTAGAGGGTACAAACCCCTCATACTCCTCTCTCTTCCTAATCGTCTCTCGTCTTTCTCGACATTTCTCTCCTACCCGCTCCTAGATCTACTTTCCTCACGCCATTTCATGGCAGCCTTCCCTACCTCCTAGCATCCTTGCTTTCCTCATTTAACATGGTATCAGAGCAGGTGACCGTTTACGGGCCTGCTCCTTATGCTTCCGCCGCATACTTAGTCGTCGTTCATTCCTGTCGTGCCGCCGTGGCGGCCATGCCCGTTCCTGCCGTGCCGTTGCGTCGTGACGTGTGGCGTCGTTGCCACACTGTTGCGACGGCGCCGCGCATACCGTCGCAGCGGCGACGTCCCACCGCTGCATCGACGCCACGATGTATCGGCGTCGTAATGCTGCCGTGGCAGCGTCGTCGGACGGTAGCTTGCCGCGCGACGTTCGTGGCGCCGCCACACCTGCTGCCCGCACGCCAGCCTCAAGCATGAGGCTGGACCACGCCCCGCCCCCCTTCCCCTGTGTCCCGTATCTTGCTGTCCCACCGTCGCGGGGCCTGGCCACGTCACCGAGAGGTGCGGGTGCCGCCGCCGCCGCCGCTGTTGTCGAAGCCGCCTCCGCCGCCGCTGTCGCCGCTTGCGTCGGGGCCACGCAGCCGCACGCCGCCGCTGCTGCCGTCGCCGCCGCAGCCCCTGCGGTCGACGTCGCCGTCTCACGCGCCGTGGGGTCGACCAACCTAGTGTCGCTGTCACTGTGGCTGGAATGGGGGTGCTTGGTTAGGGGGTGTGTGGTGTGTTGGGTGGGTGTGTGACTACCAAGCCTCGGGGGTGTGTTAAAATTATAAAAGTTATAATTTAATATAGGCTTGGTAGGTTGTTACCAGGCCCCCAGAAGTCAGGAAAATTTTCCTGATTCAGGAAAAAAACAGGGTGTTGAGGGGTACCAGTCCTGATTTGCTAGGGTTTTGTTTTTGGCATTTCCTGAAATTTCAGGGTTTTTTTGTAAGGGATATCTGTTAGCTCAGTTTTTTTTTGTAAGGGATCCTGAAATTTCGGACTTGTATCAAGCATGGGTTCTGAGGCTCTGCGAGGGAAGAGATTCCCTCCGCCCCTGCAATCTCGTCGCCTCCCCCCCCCCCCTACTCAGCCCTCCCCCCTCTCCCCCCCACCAATTGTCGATTCCTGCCCATCCCCCAATCTCGCCCAACGCGCAAGAATTCGCTACGAATTCCCAGCACCCTCAACAATCAAGACTTGAACACACATAATCCATAAACTAAAATAAGTATAGAAACCTTGAGAAATCAGGATTTTTTTTGGGGGGACCCTGAAAATTCAGAATTTTTTGAAGGGAGAATCCTGATGGATCAGGAAGCCTCAAAACCGATCTAGGGCCCTGGTTGTTACTGAACCTTTCTGTAGAGGGTACGAACCCCTCCTTGTACTCTCTCTTCCTAATCGTCTCTCTTCTTTTTCGACATTTCTCTCCTACCCGCTCCTAGATCTTTCCTCATGTCATTTCATGGCGGCCTTCCCTACAGGCCTGTCGTTATCAGGGTATTTTACCCTGATTCCCTGATTTTACAGGGTATTTTTTTGGCCAACCCTTAATTTTCAGGGTTGGGCTTTTTTTAACCCTAACCTCTTCAGGGTTGTATGTCTGTGAACACTGAGATTTTCAGGGTTTGCGTTATCCCAACACTGATTTTTCAGGGAGTAACGCGTACGAACCCTGAGTGCGACATCCATGTGGCTCACAATGCGGAAATTTAGGCGAAGTCCCCAATCTCCAGAGACATTCCCCCCCACACGCAACAACCTACAAAAATTGGTGAAGTCCTCAAACATTCCCTCACACACCAAGCAACCCACAAAAATCGGCTAAGTCATGTGTCGTACAGACATCCCCCTTACACACCTCACAACAATTCAAATCATATTTTATATAATTATAGGCTTGGTAGTTGTGCTACTGCATCCTACTGTAGAGGGGATAACTGTCAAAAGACTAGCTTAGCTAGGAAGCCATAGAATGGCACAAGGTTTAGCTAGGAGCTAGGAGGAGCCATGAGAATGGCGAGAGGTTTTAGGTGCTAGGAAAGTTGAGGAGAGGAAAAGAGGGTTGGATTAGGAAGAGAGAGGAGTACAAGGAGGGGTTTGTACCCTCTACAGAAAAGGTTCAGTAACAACCTACCAAGCCTATATAAATTCTAACTTATATAATTTTAACACACCCCCTAGGCTTGGTAGTCACACACCCAAACACACCCACACCCCCTAACCTAGCACCCCCATTCCAGCCACAGTGACAGCGACTCTAGGTCGGTCGACCCCACGGCGCGTGAGGCGGCAACGTCGACCGCAGGGGCTGCGGCGGCGACGGCGGCAGCGGCGGCAGTGTCGACAGCGGCGGCGGCGGCGGCGTGCGGCTGCGTGGCCCCGACGCAAGCGGCGACAGCGGCGGCGGCGGCGGCTTCGACAACAACGGCAGCGGCGGCGGCACCCGCACCTCTCGGTGACGTGGCCTGGCCCCGCGACGGTGGGACGGCCGGCGGGAGTCAGCCGTCGTCTGCGGAATGGAAGAGGGCGCAGGGGAAGGAGGGGGGGTGGGGGGGGGGGGGCGCCACAGGCTGACATGCGGGCGGCCGGTCTAGCGGCGCCACAAGCGTCACGCGGCCGGCTGCAGCCCGACGACGCCGTCATGGAGCGGCGTCGATGCCGCAGCGGGGCGTCGACGCTGCGACGGCAGCACGACGTCGCCGGTACGCCGACTGCGCGCTGTCGCGTAGACGCCGCGGCAGCGTGACGGCGCCGTCACGTCGCGACAGCATCTTGACGCGACGGCGGAGCTGCGGCACGACGGCGCGGCCACAGCAGCTGGACGCGGGCGCCATGGACGTCGACGGCGGCGCCGCGGCACGACGACGCGGCCACAGCAGCTTGACGCGGCCGCCATGGCAGCGCGAGATAGAGAGAGAAACGAGCACGCAGCGGAAACGCGAGGAGCAGGCCCACACGGAACGAACTGCTCTAATACCATGTCAAAAGACTAGCTTAGCTAGGAAGCCATAGAATGGCACAAGGTTTAGCTAGGAGCTAGGAGGAGCCATGAGAATGGCGAGAGGTTTTAGGTGCTAGGAAAGTTGAGGAGAGGAAAAGAGGGTTGGATTAGGAAGAGAGAGGAGTACAAGGAGGGGTTTGTACCCTCTACAGAAAAGGTTCAGTAACAACCTACCAAGCCTATATAAATTATAACTTATATAATTTTAACAATAACTCCCCTTCTTGTACCTGTTTCTCTTCTAGTTGATTCACCTTTTCTCTCGACATTCTCCTCGCCTTCCTCCTAGCTAAACCCCGCCGCCATAGTCATGGCGTCCTAACTATCCTACCTTCACGACATGGTTTCAGAGCAGGCCGCCCGTCCCGGGCCTGCTCACTACTCTTCCGCTGCGTATTCTCTGTTACTTCGCCGCCTTCGCAACCTTCAGATTGCCTACCGCCGTGGCACCTTCTCTGAGATGCCGCGGCGGCCTCATGGTGGCGACGCCGTCGACGTCGGGCCGTCGCGGCGTGACAGCGCCGCCGTACTGACGTCGTGGCGTCGACGTGATGCCGCATCGACGTCACGTCGTGCAGCATCGACGCCGCTCGTTGACGGCGCCGTCGGGCTGCAGCCGACCGTGCGACGTCGGTGACGCTGCCGCCGCCCACACGCCAGCCAGCGCCCTCTCCTCTATACCACCCCTTCTCCTTGCGCCCCCTCTCCCTCCTGCCGCAGCTGCTGTCTTCGGCTCGGTCATCGCCAGGTCGTGTCACACCGCCGAGAGCCCTTAGCCGCCGCAGTCGCCGCCTGTCCTCATCACCGCAGCCGCCTTGAGCACGAGCTCCGTCGCTGTCGTCATTGAGGCCGCCCAGATGCGGCCAGCTGCCTCTCGTGCGGGGGTGTCATCGCCTAGCATGAGGGGTCAATACCCGGCTGCTCACGAGAATGAGGGGGTCCGGGGTTAGGGGGTGTGTGTGTGGGTTGAGTGGGCTTGCCACTACCAAGCCTAGGGGGTGTGTTCAAATCATATTTTATATAATTATAGGCTTGGTAGTTGTGCTACTGCATCCTACTATAAAGGGGATAACTCCCCTTCTTGTACCTGTTTCTCTTCTAGTTGATTCACCTTTTCTCTCGACATTCTCCTCGCCTTCCTCCTAGCTAAACCCCGCCGCCATAGTCATGGCGTCCTAACTATCCTACCTTCACGACAACAACAACCCACAAAAATTAGCGAAGTCTTGATAGGCAGTGAGAGCACAAAAAAAAAAACGGCTTAGTCCTATTGTACACAAGTTATCCCCCCTCCCACACTCCCACTACCCATAAAAAAGGCTAACGGTCAAGTCATAGAAGGGTACTAGCGACAATGCTCCCTTCTTAAGGAAAGTTTTTTTATTGCCCGTGTGGTCAACTGAAAGTCCATCAAACTTTGACGGCCACGATCAATCGCGATCGTTTCGACAAATTTCTGCCGTTAGATGATCTCGTATGATTAACGTCCTCGATTTGCCCATGGCGCTGCAAGCGTGAGAGGTTTCTGCCACTGCCCCATTCGCCTCGATCCCCACCTCTCCCTCAGTTTCGCTTCCCCTCTCCCCTCTGTTTCGATTCCCCCTTCCCCTCTGTTTCGATTCCCCCTTCCCCTCCGTTTCGCTTCTCCCATTCCTCTCTACTGTATTTCGAAACCCCCCCCCTCCCCCCACTTTTTCCCTCCCCGTTTCGCTTCCTCTCTTCCCCTATGTTTCCATCCTCCCCCTTCCCCTCCGTTTCGCTCTTCCCCTCCCCTCGGTTTGATTCCCTCCCCTTTTTCCCCCCATTTTTTATTCCCCCTTCGTGTTGAAGGCAACCCTGAATGCGTTCGGTGAACCCTGGGATTTTCAGGGTTCTTGATTTCTGAACACTTACAAATCAGGGTAGGCAAATTTTGAACACTGAGCCCTCAGGGTAATTTTTTTTTTTAGTCGACAGCTCAGGGGGGGTTTTTTTGAAACGTCAGGCCTGCTTCCCTACCTCCTAGCATCCTTGCTTTCCTCATTTAACACCTTTGAGTCCCTTCGCCCTTACGTAATCTTTCGTCCAACCTCCTCGTGTAACCTCCGTTGACTCGCGTACCCGATATGGCTTTCCTCGAGTGTAGTGTTTACACTTAAGAAACGCTCAAGTCTTCGAGGTATTTCCAACACATTCCAATGCAAGTTCGAGGGGTCCAGCAAACAGCCCAAGTGTGAAAATGCTGGATGGTTTTGTGAATTTCTCGTAGGTAGCTGTGGTTCTACACGGAGCAAATCTTCAATCGGAATTCGGTTCGTCACGGGTCTGACAAAAGGTCGGGCCTGATGCGAGGTCTAGGAATCTGCCCTCATCAGGAATACAAGCAGCTCGACCTACTTTTTCTTTGACCGACGAGGCGGTTTAGGCAGGCCCAACTCCCCCCATTTCGCGAGCACCACATCCCTCTCCCTCTTCAACTCCCTTGCCGCCACCTCATCCCCCTGAGCCTCACACGTCTTGATCAGAATCATGTATGCCAGATCATATGGCCCTGCCCCCGCCTCCCTCATCCTCCCCAGCACCTCTCGGCCACTCCTGTAGTCCCCTGACCGGCAGTGGGCAGCAAGGAGAGCCGTGAAGGTGGGGGAGCAGGGAGGCACCCCATCCTTCTCCAGGGTTGACTGGAAGAGCGCCTGGGCGTCGGTGATGCGGCCCGCCAGGCCCAGGCAGTTGATCATGCGCGCACAGAGGTCCGGGTCAGGCTTGTACCAGTGCTCCGTGCGCACATGCTCAAATACCTGCCAGGCAGGATGCAGGGATGGGAGGCGGGAAAGGGGTGAAAGAAGGCGATCAGGTGAATTGCTTCTCTGCACTGCCGTACTTGAGGGGAAGGTGTGTGGGGGGGGGGGAGATGAGAGGGGGGAGACGTCTGGGAAAGGGATGGGGGGGCAGCAGGGGGGAGAAGAGGGAGGAATGAGTTCTAACAGATGAAAGGGCAAGACAGCAGTGCTTAACGAATGGGAGAAAGGGAGGCGTGGAGACACCGGAAAAAGTGCACATAAAGAAAGACGAAAAAAATGTAAAGGAAGGGAGAAAGAAACCAGAAATAAAGCACAAGAGGAAAAGAGGGAGCGGGTGGAGGAGGCGCGTGGGCGAGGGGAGGGAGCAAGATATGGAGTCGTAGACAAATGCACGTGGGGAGAACAAGGAAATGAGTCATGGACGGAGAATGAGGGGAGCGCGTGGGGGAGGGAAGGAGAACTCGGAAAATACACCCGCGTGCATCACACAATGACATGGAGGGATAAAGGGAGGTGGGGAATAGGGAGGTTGAAGGCAGAGAGATGGGTTTTGGGTTTGAAAATCAGATAAGTTCGTTGTTGGTCGTAGCTGACACAAGGATGCTGCTCAGGTGATCGCGCTGTGTAAGCACTTGCAGCTCATCATGTCAACTCCGCGAGCGACACTGAAACCGCCGAGGTAAATCCCACTCCCTATGCACCCTAAGACCCTCTTAAACCCTTATCGTTTTGAGCGCCAGTAAGCCTGCTGAAGGCTCATAAAGAATATGATGCAGCCTCTAGCTCGCCGTGCTCTGTTGAACCTGATACATACACACTCTCCTTCTCTACACACTCCGCTTCGTCATTATACTAGCCATACTCCTACGTATCCAAATACCAATACGTTCTCACTTTCCAAACCCATCTTTCCCTTCACCCCTTCATCTATCCCCGCGCCATTCCCCCTCTCACCCGCGCGGCCAGGCGCCACTGCTGCTGTCGCTGCAGCTCCTGCAGCGCCAGCAGCATGTCCGGCTTCACCAGCCGCGCCACCTTGCTCCGCATCACCGCCTCCACGCGGGGGCCGCACACCCACCGGCTCCCCACGCCCGCGCTCAAACCGCTCGAGGTACTAGTGCTGGACAAACCGACGATCTGAGCCAAATCGGAAATCGATGGTATCCCCCCATGCGCAGCTGCTTGTATCGGGTTCGCTTTGCCGGCATCGAGACTCAAGTCCCGAGAATGATCATTCATAGACGCCACGGCTCCGTCATCAACTCGGTGAAGCATCGCTTCCTCCTCGCCCTCTTCCTCGTCCTCCGCTTCCTCCGCGTCCTCGTCGTCCTCCTCCTCCCACCGTAGCTGCTCGTCTCTAGCATCCAGCATCGCGGCCAGCTTCAGCTCCTGAACGGCATCCACCGCCTCTCCCGCCATGTTACGGCTCCGCCACAGGCTTTCGCGCTTAGAGGCGAACAGCTTGTGTGAGGATCGCTGAGACCCTTCATGTCGAAGAATCGGCGGTGAATGCGAGGTCAAAGTAGACGGCGAAGGCGACAGCCTGTTGCTGCTTGCGGGAGGAGCAGCTAAAACGAAGGGAGATTGTTTGTGGGGGATAGTCTCAGCATCGAAGCGTAGTGATTGGTTCAGTAGTGTCTGAATTGAACGCATATGCGAGCTACGGCGTGGTACTGCGGAGATTTGCGCGAAGGAGAGCAGGGTGTCGTCAAGCCGAGTGGCAGGAGAAAGCGGGAAATGCGCCCGCCGAAGACTGATTGTGGCACGAGCAAACACCATTGTCTAGCTCTGAATGCGCTGAGAGAGGGAAATCAGCAATTTGGCCAAGGGGGAGGTGAGGGTATGAAAGTTTGAGCTACACTTCAAGTAATTTGGACTTGCAAGTTACTGTATACCTTCTGCAAGGTTAAAACCCAACTACCAGGTTGCGTGTCATCGAAGCGTAGTGATAAAGGCGGGCTGAATTCGGGTCAATGTTGCGGCAGTTCAGTTCGCAAGCTCATTTGCGAGATTGAGCTCCGAGGCCCAACGCTTGAGCCTGCACTGTGGAGCCTGTTACAGGGTAATGGCAACACGTGGAGATTTTCTTCTCACGTCATGTTCGCCAGTCGACTGTTCAGACTCGCGACATGTTCCACTTCAGCGAGGTTCAGTTACAGTCTGAAATGTGTTCTCCATTTCGGTGAGTAAAATTGAGTCGAGGTCTCGTTTCTAGCTTCTCATCCGTTTTGGGAAAGTGGTCCAACCTAACCCTTGCATTTCAAAACGGCTCCATGTGGGGCGCGTATCAAAATTAGACAAGTCAATGATGATAGAGTGAGAGTACACACAGATATACCTAAGTGTTGAACCCTCTAAGAGGCGACCCTATACAGTCTATACAAACATGACAAATACACATGTTTGACACACCCCCTAGACTGCATAGGGGAATGTCCTAAACAAGCAGCTTAGGGCGGCACTACTAGTCTAACCTCTGAGACAAGGGTCTGAGAGACCAGTCAGAAGGAGTACAGACAAGGCAAGAACAAGACCAGGGCGGCACTACTAGTCCAGCCACTGGAAGAGGACACAAGTCCAGTCCGAGTATACGTATAAAGGACAGTACAAAGTCAAGGTCCTAGCAAGTGAGAGGCTACAGGAACTAGACCAAGCTGGACACAGTGCCGCTGATGATCTTTAGGCGCAAGCGCCTTCGTAAAGATATCAGCCGTGTTGGCACCTGAGGCCAAGTGTACTACGCGAGCCTGACGTCGCTGCTGTAGCTCACGCAAGAGGAAGTACCGCAGCTAAATGTGCTTTGCTCTGCCCTCGAGTCGAGGCTCCTGACACACGAGGATCATGGCCCTGTTGTCAGCGAACAGGACCCGGGCAGAGCTAGGCCGCTCACCTAAGTCAGTGAGCAAGAAGGTCAGCCAGCGGAGCTCCTGTGCCGCCATGGCACCGGCGTAGATCTCAGCCTCACAGCTGGACTGCGCAACAGACGAGGAGCGGGTAGCTCTCCACGAGACGGCACCTGAGCCAAGGCTGAAGCAGTAGCCCTGGGTAGACCTGAGTGTCTCGGCGTCGTCTGCCCACGAAGCGTCGGTGTGTCCAGTAAGGACCACTGGCCTGCGTTCTCCTAGCACTAACCCCATGCCTGATGTACTAGCAAGATAACGCAAACCCTCTTAGCGGCAGACCAGTGCTGCGGTCGATGTCTGCCTGTGGCCACAAAGCGAGCCAGGATGCTGAGAGGGTATGCGAGATCTGGGCGAGTGCAAGTCATCAGGTACATGAGGCAACCCACCAGCTCTGCGTAGGGGCCGCTGGGCTCAACCGACTCCTCAGACACTGGAGCGGAGAGTCTGTGGTCTACAGGCAGAGGGGTGGGCTGTGCAGAGGAGAACTGAAGGCTGAACCTCTGAAGGACCTGGTGTCACAGGATCGAATGTGTCGAGGAAAGGTTGCACTATCGATCAGTACAAGGCGCTTTTATACTTCCAGAGTACATCAGGTAACCAGGTTTATCTTATCCTAAAGGAATAGACCCTTCTAGAAGATAGAATCACCCTGCGTATAGCCACGCGAGGCTATTGGCTTTAAGGGATTACAGCAGGATTACGCTAGATAGAGCGCACCAATACATCCCCAGCCTGGTCGGTGATATAATGATAATAGCAGGATAAACCAAAGGTTAATGGAAAAGGAAGAATATGAAACCAAATGAGATGCGGTAAAAAGAGAAATGAAAAGGGAAGGAAATAAGAAAAGGCCAAGTGGTGTAACGGGGTCGTACTCTCACACTTCCCCCCCTCAAAGCTGGGTGGTAGAAGTAACACCCTGCTTGACAAGGTAGTCAGGCAGAGGACGACGGGCGTTACCCATGTCGGACTCAGGTACCCAGCTGTCCTCAGAAGGATCATAACCCTTCCAACGGATAAGAAGCTCCACGGTGCCATTCCGACGACGGCGGTGTGCGAGCACGGACTCGACCTCGTACTCGGGTTCATTCTGGACGAGGACGGGCGGTGGCGGCGGCGGTTGGCGTCCGACGAAAATTGTGTTCGGGTCCCGATAGGGCTTCAGAAGTTGGACGTGGAAGGCGTTGTGAATCTTCCAGGTAGCTGGCAGGCGTAAGCGGAAGGTAACAGGAGTGACCTGTGCTTCAACGAGGAAAGGCCCGCAGAAGCGAGGTCGAAGTTTAGATGGGAGATGGCTGATGTCCAGGTTACGGGTGTCGAGGAGCACCTGGTCTCCCACGGAAATGGTGTGGTCGTTGCGATGGCGATCGGCCTGGCGCTTCTGTTGCTGTTGAATGTCAAGGAGGCGCTTATGGGTCCGATCCCAAAGTTGATGCATGGTGGTAATGAAATCATGTGCGGGTTGGACTGTAGGTGATGCTGTCGGTTTTTGTGGTGTGAGTGGGTGGCGTCCGTAGCAGAGGAAGAACGGCGTCTGTCCAGTAGCGGCATGTGTGGCATTGTTGTAAGCAAACTCGAGTACGGGCAGGTGCAAGTCCCATTTGGAGATGTCGTCCTTGCAGGCTGCTCGGAGGAGTTGCTCAACAATTTGGTTGAGGCGCTCGGTCTGTCCGTCTGTCTGCGGATGGTATGCGGATGACATGAAGTGTCCGGCGTACAGGACGTCGTGGTATTCTTTGAGTAGTAACTGGCGCAAAGGAGGGTAATTGGGTACCCAGATTTTTGTGGATCCCTTCCGGTATGCGATGTCATTGTCCCACTGTAACAGATGTCGCTTTTCTGCCAATGGAATTTCGGGGTCGATGGCGTACCCGTGGGTGAAGAGTCCCTTGAGTAGTGGATTCATCCCTTCGATCTGAATCGCGGCAACGTGTGCAGGCCGGCTGAGAGCGTCTGCTTTGTTCTTGTGGCCGGGCTTGTACACGATGTCGTAGTGGAAGTGTGTCTCGAGGAAGTCGATCCACCGGACCTGCCGCCTGGAAAGGTTGGGTTGTGTCTTCAAATATTTCAGGCTGCAGTGGTCGGTGTAGACGGTCGTTCGTCGTCCTTCGAGATAGCATCTCCACGCTTTGAAGGCGATGACGATAGCAAGAGCCTCTTTGTCGTGTATCGGGTAGTTGAGTTCTGCCCCGTGCAGTTTCTTGCTGAGGTAGGCAATTGGTTGCAGTCCATTCCCCTGGTCTTGCATCAAGACTGCTCCCACGGCCTGATCACTGGCGTCTGCTTCAATGACGTAGTCACGTTCGGGATCTGGCAAGATGAGTACCGGTGCGGATGTCAGTGCTTGTTTCAGTTGCTCCACGGCTTCCTGGTGCTTCGTCTCCCATTTGTAGGACGTGTTCTTCTTCAGCAGATTCGTGAGTGGTGCCGCGAGTTTTGCATACTGTGGCACGAACCTGTTGTAGTAATTAGCGAAGCCTAGGAACTGCTGCAACTCCTTCACGTTCTCGGGTGTCTTCCACGTACGTACGGCTTCGATTTTCTTGGGGTCGACGTGAACTCCTTGAGCGCTCACCACGTGTCCTAGGAATTGGACCTTTTCAAGGGCGAATTCGCTCTTGGACAGTTTGACGTAGAATCGTTCCCGTCGAAGAATTTCGAAGACGCGTCGCAGGTGTTCGACGTGCTGCTTCATGTCGCGCGAGTAGATGAGTATGTCATCCAGGTACACCACCACGCATTCGTCCAGAAGTGGTCGTAGAATGTGGTTCATTTCGGCTTGGAATGTTGCCGGCGCGTTGGTGAGTCCGAACGGCATGACCAAATACTCGTACGATCCGTACCGAGTTCGAAAAGCAGTTTTGTGGATAGAGTTGTCCGCCATCCGTATCTGCCAGTATCCGGACCGCAGATCCAGTTTGGAAAATACCGTAGCTCCCCGAAGCTGGTCAAGCAGGTCATCGATTCGCGGTATCGGATATTTATTCTTGATGGTCTGCTTGTTAAGAGCTCGGTAGTCGATGCACATGCGCAGGCTTCCGTCCGGTTTCGGTGTGAAGAGTACTGGGGCACCGTACGGCGAAGTGGATGGTCGGATGAGTCCTTTAGCTAGGAGATACTCGATCTGCTTCTTCATGTCGGTCAGCTCCGTAGGGCTGAGTCGATATGGTGCTCGGAAGGTCGGCTTCGAACCCGGTTCCTCCACGATCTCGTGTTGATGCGTTCGGTATGGCGGTAGCTCGTTCGGAAGATCGTCAGGAAGAATGTCTTGGAACTCCTTCAGTAATTCCTTGATTTTTTCTGGAGTTTCCGAGGCTTTCTCTCCGTCATTCTCCACCTCTGTTGCTATCGCCAGGAACCCGGTGTCGGTCCGCTTCACGTCCTTCTCGAATCGTGCGAGTGTCTCCACTGGGATATCTCCAGTGTCGTCCCAGTTGGGTAGCTGTACTCTCCGTCCATTGTTGTAGATGCTTGCGGTGCGGTTCACCCAGTTGATCTCGGGGTTGAATCTTTTCAGGAAGTCTCGCCCGAAGATCAAGTCAAGCCCTTTGATGTTGGTGATGGGGAGTGCAGGTCTCCAGCGCAGTGGTCCAATTTGTAGATGTAGCACTGCTTCGCCGTGTACTGGTAACTTGCTGCCGTCCACCATCGTTGCAGAGAATCCTGAAGGCTTGTACTCTTCCCGGAGTCGGTCGATCATTGCCTTGTCGCAGACGGTGTGTGACGCTCCGCTGTCCACGAGTGCTTGGAGGCGTCGTGCTTTGCAGATGACCTCGAGCACGAGGGGCAGTCGTTGCTCGGAGTACCCAAAGATAGTTTCATTGATTGGGTCATAGGGTACATCCCAATATTCCGTACACACCTTTGTGTTGTTGTCTACTCCTGAGCTGGCAGCTGGCCAAGGCTGCTTGGAGAACGG